GCAAAAAATTCTTCTACTTTAATGTAAGGCTAGCGAGTGTTGTTGTACATCTATATGATGATCACGCCGCCTTGGAATTAGAGAAGATTCAGGATCTTCGAGGCATTCGATGAGATTCTCCTCGAAGAATCTCCAATTTTGTTGGCATCCGAGAAAGTATGGCCACGGTGTATCATGTAGATAAGCAATGAACTTCCTAAAATTTAGTTAAACTACGAAGGAAGGCAAAAATATGCATACCTACAAGTTAAACTATAATATTAACTTTATGTTGCTGGTATGATTCAAATGTAATTTATTGTCTTAACTCTTTTATTTACTGCCTTTTTTTCTTTTTAATGGCAGGTTATGTTGCGAAATATAACTCGTATGAACTGCCACTACCGACTTTCTATTAATCTCGGCATTGATCAAGTGATTTTCTTCGTATTTTTGTTGAGCAAACGCGAGGTGTTACTATTCTTTGTTCACGATTAAGCTGACGTTTCGGCGGATTTCGCCTTCTTCAGAGCCGCTTTCTATGAGGTTTCCACTAAGTATGTCACGTAGAGACCAACCGCACAGAAATCACGTGGAAGTATAATGTGCACATTGAACAAAGAATAGTAACACCTCGCGTTTGCTCAACAAAAATACGAAGAAAATAACTCGTATGAGATGCTGAGATATTTGCAAAACTCCGGACCACAGGTGTATGCAGTGGGGAACGAACACGTGCTGCTCCCCGGTAAGGACAACAGCGCGTGTTCGTTCCCCACTGCATACACCTGTGGTCCGGAGTTTTGCAAATATCTCAGCATCTCATGCGAGTAATTTATTGTGTTAATGGTTCTTCCTATCGCTGCAACGTAAACAGTTTCTGCAATAATTTTTGGTAGCGTCTAGGCAGGATTATACTAGAATGTTTTCGACTACAAAATTCTGACTAATAATTGCATTAAAACGTATAAAAAGCCCTTTTTCGGAGGAGTTCCTGATTGACGTTGCGGATAGCAGGAAAACTTTGCCTCACGTACTTTTAGCCCAAGCTAAGCGTAGCCGTGATTGTGTTGAATCGGATTTTATTAAAGCACTGTGGTGGAGGAATCGAATTGTAGAATGCCATAAAGAGAAACGCAACTTTATTTTTAGTCAGAGGCTCTGCATAACCGATATCACCGTTGCTTCAAAACCTTACGCTAACAAGAATTCCTCTGCTCGTAATTCTTCGTTCCATAAAAGTAAAGGAAGCCCATGAATTCCATAAAATTAACGTTGCAAGATCACACAGTCTAGAATATCTGCCGTTGCTAACTTTATAGCACAAAGATAATGTTATGAATAAGGAATCCAATACATTCAGTAAGCTTTTTCGCAACAGTGACGTAACAGCGACAGCAGGCGAAATCGAAAGGCCAGCAAGAACATTTTACCTCTGAAAGTTGAGCTCGTACGCTGACTTGAAGTAACACATGCATAAGATCAATAGCAACCAACGTTTTGGGTTTCAGAGGTGTACAACGAATAGGAGAAAAAAGAAAGAGCTTAATTCGGAAACAGCAGTGGTGATGAATGAGTGAGGTGAAGTAGGGTGAAGTAGAGTGAAGCAACAGTGGAGTGAAGTCTGAGAAAAAGTCTCGTAACCTTAACCAGCTTTGCAAATAAAAAACCTGCTTCGCAACCACATCTAATGTCTTTATATATGTATATATATACTCATATGTAGATTTGCATTTATAATATCGTCCAGCAATTTTTCCATCTGTAGTCTGAGATGTTGGACAGCACTCTGTCTGGACTGTTATGAATTGAAACCTCCGAGGAACCCAGTACTGCTTATCACCAAAATGCTGATCCAGATAACCACATGTCTTTTGTAAGAATGCAATTTGGCAAGCCCGTGAAAGTCAAGTGGAGCCACTCTGCTTTACAAAATACCCATACGACATAGATAACACTCTCCTTAGTTAACGGTGCTATGAACCGTCTGCAAGCTTCTAGATCTGATTTATCATCAGTAGGAATGAAGTTGTATGAAGCAAATCCATATGAGAAAGCATTGGCCTTGCAAAGAGTTTTAGTAGGATTATTCGTATCCACACCGTGCTGAAATTCAGTTGAGTATTGTGAAAGTATAAAATGACGCTATCTCTTATTAAACACTTGGCGACTATGTGCGAAGATCCCGAAATTTGTTCTGTAATGTCACTCTATTAAAAAAAATCGTTGTTAGTCTGAAGACAGAAATTCGACATCCGCGACATACACTATCTTGTATTCATTGATGAGATCGTTCTCATAATGACAACATTAGAAAGTGCGAGCGAATGCTGATTGTTGTCTACAGTGTCTAAGAATCACTGTGTGGTTTAATTTAAAGAGGACCATGTTCATGAAAAATCATTTTAATTTTGAAGAATGAGAACGGACCAAATGTGTAGCTACGGGTAGAGAAGAGCAAGTCTGTTCAACTGTTCATACATTTCGAACAGTCAGCCATGGCGTTTTCTCAAATCATTTCTGCAGGTGATTCTCAAGACAAATGGATTTTCTTTCCTCGCTGATGCTTCCGATCCATTACTGTTTATAAGATTTCACAAAACTGACATATGAATGCATCCCATTATAGCACAATCATTGCAGTTATCGCCACACTAAATTGAGCCTCGGAAGATATCATGTTTTGCTTGCGCTTATCCTCTTTAACACCGATTACACATAAAGAGAAAGAATTTACCGATCAGCCTTTTTATTTGGTTGGAGAAAACAGAATAGAGTGGTCAGAAAGTTACGTTCGATAACGGTTTGTTCAACAAATAAATGCTGTGACGACTGTTTAGTTTGTGATGGCTTGTTTCAGTACTAAGTTTCCACAGTCGTGTTGTTTTACACCAAGGCACCTAGAGGTGGCAATGTCACATCGATAAGTTAAACATGCTCATGGAACTGTTTCGAGCTTGCTTATGACCAACCAAAGCCTTATTTGCTCCGTATACGGCAAAATGGTACCGCTGTTGCCTGTAATCAGCTCAGTCCCTCCGATCCACAAAATACGGTGACTACCTATGACGAAGATTTATGAACGACCTACGACACGGCTATCCTAGGATTTAAAGAAGAATTCTCTTAGCCACCATTCAACATCATTCATTAAGAAGTCCTCAAATGGCAGTTCAACATAAACTCACGCCTAAACGGGAAAAGCGTTCTAGATGATCAATGCGGAAAAACGAATCAACTGCAAGAATTGCTGAGACCCAGAAGACGTGTACTGTTGGGTTGTGAAGAAGAAAAAAATTTGATGCACTATTTCAACACAGTCGTCTTAACCCACAAGTGTTTGTGCAGCCAGAAAAAATTCGAAAGGAAAGAAATTAATTACTTATGAGTAATGCCACAAACAGCTCGATGCCTCGTCAATAGAGTACGAGATACGCAACGTTGAAAATAGCTTAAAAGCTTATTATATTTTTAACATAACACACAGTAAACTTGCCACATGAATTTCAGCATCTATTGCATTAAATTTCTTTTCCTTGTATTCATCGTTCACAAAGTTGCGCGGTCTCTGAACTTTTCGCACCTTGTTTCGGCTGGTACTTGAGAGTCTCGTTTTCTTTATGCATGTCGTAGAATGCTAGTCGAGTGGATTCTTCTGGGAATCTTGGTCATGGCCGAGTTAGGTCGTTTCCGCGTAGATTGGAGAAAAGCGTTGGAAAGGGGACGAGCCCGAATCTTGTTTCTTGATGGACTTGGGCAACAAAGCCAGTCCGCTACAATACAGACTGGAAAGGTTCCGCAGTGATTTACGTTAATATAGGATTTCGACACCAGCCACTTTACATCAGAGTTAGATTTCCGATATTCGCCATCCTGAACGCAACTCGAATCGTCATTCAATACGTCGTCAAACAGACGGAACAGCTCCACAAAGTGATAGCATTTAGCTAAAATTGCTCTGCATTCTCCTCAAAAACGTGTACAAATTTGTGTCATTGAAGTGAAAGTCAACCGTCGATAGGTGTGTCTTTTCCATTTCGTTGATGAAATCGTCCACATTTCACCAAGCATAAGCCAGGCTCGCTAAACACTGCCCCATTTTGTTGGTTAGTGTTGAAATCGCAGTCTATAACTGAACGTAATCGAGGCGATATTCGAAAAAAACGTTAATTTGTCGTTATGTTTTTCAGCAGTCGCTAAGTTGTTACACATCATACGTCAATTTCTGTACAAAAACACGTGCAACAAAACAGTAGCTGACGTTTCGGCAGTATCGTCTTCTTCAGTGCTTGAAAGGTATGCAATTTACTAAGCCAAACGCATCAGTAACACATACAGAAATATGAAGATCTTTATGGCAATCACACTCTCAACAGCTTCTCGGAAATCCTAGAAACGTTGTTTCTGGACCATCAACCGAAAAAAGCGTGCTCATAAAGCTCATAAAGCAGCCTCATCCTCTTCCTCGCCTTTTACCTCATGCTTTTTCCTGCGTTGACTTTTGCCTCTGAAATCTACAGGCTACATGTGCTGGCGATGAGAATTCCGCAAGAGCTGTTGAATGAGCAATGAAGAGAACGTCGCATAGAATATGTCATCTGGCACAGCTGGGGAAATAAATACAGAGCTCTCGTCTTTGTCGTCTATTGAAGCATAATGATGCACATGTCCAACTGTTGAAAAGCAGAAGAGAAGGCAAATGAAACATCGAAGAGCTAAGCGATCGACCGAGAGTTTCTCTGTACGAAGAAAAGACATGTAAGGACCGAATGGTCAACTATTTTCACAAAAAATCTAAAAGTGAATGTGAAAATTCTTCAAGAAAGAAGGAACGACTGATAGTTTTAATACTTTACAAAGGCAATTGGAGACTATGGGAACTTGGAAAAACAATCGATGATCAGTCCTATAAAAAATTCTGAGACAATGGAGTATCTTAATCAAGCGCTTGCTGCAATCATACTCATTTGGAAAAAGAATAAGGACTCATTTTCACATTTTTTCATGTTTAATCCATGGTCTTACCATTCACTTTGTTCTCCTCGAGCGCAACTGAACTTCCGGTTATGAGTTGCTCCGAGTTCCGTGAGAATGGCATAATCAAATCTGAGCTTGAGATGTGAATCCTCAGGAACAGTGTTGTTCGCTATCACTTGAGTCGCTACCGCCTAAACGACTTGTCTCATCTTTTGGCTTGAAAAACAATCTGTGAAAAGCTCTTTCAAAAGAAGCTTTTTAATTTCTAGATTTTTCTTCGTGGGAACAGATTTAGACAGGTTTCTCCTTGCCACAGCTTGTGAAAGCCACACGTTCGCTGTTTTTCTTTCTACTAGAAAACGTCGTAGGAAAAATCTTTATAAAGGAGAAAGATATGATGTAATCAAAACAGGACTAGAAAGTGAAAACGAACAATTAGTCGGTCACCGAATCGTCTTCTAGTTTGCCACGGGCCTGCCTGCTTTCGACGAAAACCCAGTCCGAGCTCACCATCTTCCCAGAACGGCTTACACACCGTAGACGCCTTGTTATCAGATAACAGAAAAGCACTGAAAAAAGTACCACCATCACATAGGAATTTTTTCGAAGCATTAGAATTCAATGAAAGTTAACAAATACTAACTCGTTCACATTTTTCTCGAGTGACTGTGGTGAAAACAGTGGCGACGGTAGGATAGCGGCATGAATTGATTGCGAACTGGGCAAAAAACTAATGCAAACCTAGGAAGGGAAGACGTTTAAAAAAAACTTTGTAGAATCTATTAGGCTAAAAGACTTAACGTAAAGTATAATTAAGACTACAAACAATGAAAAAACATGGACCAACTCGATTTATTTCCGGTGGAATAGTGTTCCAGCCAATTATATGAACAGACGATATAAGCACAAGATTTAAAATGATAAGTGTCACCGCACACAATAAGGACAGAAAGAATACGGTATAGTGGAAAAAATTCGAGTAGTACCTAAGATTTTGAAGTTAATTTTTTCTTCAAAAAATAGCCTAATTCTTAACAGTTAAGATGAGCGTACAACGCTGGGTCACCACAAATTATTGCAGAGGACAACTCTACATTCGGCTGCCTCCAAGCGATGCTTAGTGAGATCGAGTGTATGGCCCATTCCTCAGGGATTGATCAACACCGAGAGCTTTATCCTTTTTATGCTTGATACTTCTGATAGCATTTCCTATACATGGTAAATCACAAAAGGCTGAAATAAACCTGTCTTCAAGATAATCTCTATTTACTACGGTAGTTTTTATAGAATACTTCATCTATTCAATTATTTACGGGAGTTACACTATGCAATAGCAAAGTTCCCAGATAAGCAGATCTCTTAAACAAAACAAATGAAGGAATTCATAACAACCATGCATAATATTCGCACTGAAAAAAGTATTTGTCGTATAGAAAGTCCATTTTCCGTTAGTAAACCTTCAAACATAAAATCTGCTTGTTCCTATGATTCATTATACTGGTCTCTTTGGGTATTATCAATGCACGGGCGACGACATGAGCAATATGTGACTCGTTATTTTTTCGGCCGTTTGTTTTGTCTCTTAGAGCTCTTATTAAACTTTTCGTAATCATGCCCACTTTTTAAAAACAGTAAACTTTGACAGTCAGTATCACCTACAATTTTTTCTTATGTTGGGTACTCTAATTATAAAAACGTTTACTAGACAGTTTAAATAACAAAATTTGCCGCGTCATTTTCTCACCTAATGGGCATCTATTCCAACAAATCCGGTGACAAAACCTCTTTATAACTTTTTATAAAAAGCAGTGTAAACTATTCATTTTTTGAGTTTTGACCACCATATTCCAAGATATGGCATTCCGTGGTTGTAGAAACATCAACTTTGGCCGTTTAAATTAAGTGCAAATAGATACATTGTTAAAGATTACACTTGCTGCAACATTTGATTCCTGTGTGTATTGTCAGAGTACTAGCTTTCTTCTAGGATGCTAGAGGTAAGCTAGTAATCTGACAATTCTAGGATGCTTTCCTAAGACTCTACAATAAAGACGGTTTTCCTCGGTTTGTAAACTCTAGCAGAATGTCTGCTGATAATTCGGAGCATCAAACTACTTTTGTAGAAATGTATCCTTCATCACACCTTGCACAATCTTTTAAACAGAGATGAATAAACAGCTTTTCAAACATGCCTTTTGACTTTTGGCATTACAATTCAGGAAACAACGAGGATGGCGACTACAATGACCACCGCAAATTCAGTCGTATGTCAGTCGTACTGGGGTATATTTATCGGGTACTGAACAATATTTAAATCTCTTCTACGGTTGTTGGCTCACTATCGCTTTGCATTATGAAGGGTATAGTTTTAGAGGCAAATGGGTATCAGTGAACATACTGCGAAAGCGACAACGAAAGAGACAACTATTTTTTGGGTGGAGAACGGGTAATTTTTCACTGCACAAAAAAGTTGAAAACATTTGACAAGCAAGAGGGAATACGCAAAAGATCTTAAAGGATGTACCGAAAATTTCTTTCGATTTATTTTATTTCGTACAACCTGGCTTCACGTCTACTGCGCTGATCGCAGTAATTCTCACATTCGACTCGTTATTGTCATCCATTATCCGCTATGGTTTTCCAACTTTTACGTCGGTCTTCGACTTCTGCTCGAGGATTTCATTCCATCTTGAATGTCGTAGAATATTGGTTGAGTCAATTTTCACTGTACTCCTGAGATAACCTAGATAGACCATTCTTAATTAAGCTGTAGAAGGTGGTTTTTTTTCTGGACAAGTCCGGAACCAATTCCACGACCCTATAGGGATAAACAGCTTGTTTGGCCCAGAGTGTGATCAAAGCTGCACCGTGCTCGTGATGACCGCCATCATTACCACTGTTCTATCTGCCCTCCCATCCAGGTAATACAAACAAATTAATCTCTTCATCTTTTCGATAGTTTTGGATTGGCATACTGCATTATCTTCTTGTTCATATTCTTCTGTCTATCCTCCGATGTATTTCAGAGCTTCTTTGTCGACGTATTCGTCTCTGGATTTTATCGACTCACTTCTCAGCAGTCAGTAGGAATTTAGATTTCATTCGTCTATCGTTGACACGATTCCAGCTCAAACAATTAAATTTTTATTGATAATTGAATTATTTCATTTTTAGTCCATGATGTGGGCCAAAGTCAACGAAAAACCTTAGTAAAGTCTGAGAACAATGTGTGTAGATAGTGAACGAATGGATTGGTGGACTTTTTCATCAAATAGAAAGCTTCGAATTGTTTCATAGTATAGTAGTAATAGTAAAAGGTAGTAGTAAAAGCAACCAAGTAAGTGCAAGTAAAAGCCTTCATAGTAGAAGTATAAAAACACATGAACCACGTGGAATGTGCAAAAATAGAAAATTACCAATATTAGACACAAAGAAAGTGAATTTTAGTGCAAAAAATACAATAAAAGTGCTTGTGTCATTTGGAGCGTTGGCCGGTACGACCCAAGCACATGTCGTCGCACTAGCCGGAAACTAGCAGTCCTTTCCGGTGTGTTAAGAAAGCACTATTTTGACATAAATACTGGCCTTACAATGAATATAGTTGGTTTTTTTGCATTTTTTGCATCTAATAAGCAAAATTCGAAACCGTGACAAACGTTGAGAAGTAAACAGCGGTTTTCTGTCATTCCATATTTTACTTCGCGTAATAGTATGAAAAGCAGGCTCGGAATTGATCAATTTCTCAGCAATTCGCCCAGCACTGGATTCCACTAAACATTGTATGGGTTGCTGAATGTATGATAGACAGTTTTCGGATAGACAGACATGGAGCTTGCGTTTTCTGGAGTTGGAATCAAGGAAAAAACAGGGTACACATAGTAAGGACACCTTTAACTACTGTGCTACATCAGCCCTACAATAGCATGTAATAGCGCAGTGTTGTTTATCCCCTAACTCCATCCCGAACGGTGATTAGAGGTGTCGTGCTATGCATATCGTCGTTAACTCGATCTTTCCGGACTAACCAAGCTCTGCATCCCTTCAAGACATTAGATTGTAACGTACCTCCTTGGGTGAATGAAAACAGACTTAAAAGATCCGTGAGCTGCCGCAAAGATTGTATAGATTTCATTCGATTACCTCAAAAACGTGCGTGAACATTTGTGTCGGTGATAGGCGCTGTTTTGACGACATGTGTAGTGGTAGCAACATGGGACACAACAGATAGCTGACAACAGTATGTAGCACAGGATAGATAAGAGCGCGCAGACAGCCATTTTGACACTTTTTACAGTGAATCTCAAAACCTGAACAACAAAAATGAGTGCTTTTAATCACATTATGTTATTATAAGCAACTGGTCATACTGAGCCCAACAGCATGAGGGCGAGGAAGAAGCAGACAGACTTGCAATGAAACACAACGAACCAAATTTCATTTATTTTCAAGCAACTTTTCAAGTGATAGCAAGCTATCTTGTTTTATTTCCGGTTTTCTCAGGACCATTAGTGATAAATGTTTTAGCACCTTATTGCAGCGATCGAATATCTATGAGCCAGGTCACAGGAAATGTCGGAATGTTCATCTCCTGTGAAAGTTCATCATAGCTTGGAATGAGAATTATACTTATGTCTGGAATCCGCAGTGATATTTCAAAACGCCAATTCTCCTTAAATCGTCGATACCTGAAACACTGCGTTCCGATGGACGGCACTGGTTTCAGAATAAAACAACACTTCACCTACATTCTTCGGTAACTTCTTTACATCTTTATTTCTTCACAGCGTTAGAACATTTTCCTCAGAAAGTGATTTTGACGCTTTCCCTGTTGACACTCATGCCACGTTAAGCCAACACAGCCTCATGAGGGAAAAGCAAAAGAGAGAGAAACGTCATACGTTAATTGAGTAACGAAAACCTTCTTGCTGTATTTATGTAGAATAAGTTCTGTCACGGATTTTCGTAGATTTTCATATACATTCTTGTTCATATTAACCATCCGCATTCCTTTTACTCCCAAAAAACGGATATCTTCGAATGTTTGAACTGATTGTAGATTTGACACCAAATAAGTGCGATGATCGACATTGCTTCAGGGTTATGAATAAAGAAGTGAGCCACTTGGTGAATTCATAAAGTCAAGGATGATAGACAGAAGATGACAAAGAACACCAGGTTACCTACCCATCTTTAGTTCTACGACGTTTCCTACCTCAACGACGCATCAGATTCCTAAAAGTTACATAGTGTGCAAAGCTCAACAGCAATGTAGCACACAGTATTGACATGAATTGCTTGAATTGATCTCTATTTACTCTAACACATGCCGTAAGTCTCGACTTCAAGAATTCCCTGAGACGGCGGCTATTTTCAAACAATTTTCGACCTTGTTCTTCAATTCCTCTCAAAAGGTTCTCCAAATAGAGATGTCTAGTGGATTCCATTCAAAATTTTTACAAGCTCTTATTTCTTGGAAAGAAATGCAAAAAAGTTCCATTCCAAATACGCACAATGTTGGAGGGTCGTGTTCAGGTTTCCCTCTCTGAAAAACGGGCTGCTTTTTTTCTTCGAACACCCCATCTTGGCATAATTGGGCGTGGATTTTGACAGGTTTGTCGATAGAGAGCACAAAAGCCTCTGATTTTCAGTGATTCCAGCAAAATAGTCATACCTCTTATAGACACCAGTTTTGTGACAGTTTCTTCTTCGGGAATGTTTCAACATACGACGAAGTAATAAACAGAGTTTTGAGGAGTTTAAACTATGAAAACATGACTTGAACACTTTCAAAACTTCTTGCATTCGATCTTTCGATCTGTCTTAGCCGAATGAGCTAACGCTAGTGCATTACGCAGTGATGAGTTAACTATTCTAAGAGGTTCGGTAATGTTGTAGAGGGCGACACTGTCAGTTTTGGTAATTTTTTCCTTACACGGACCCATTCTATCCTCGTCATATAAGGACAGTCGTCTTTTCGTTTTACAGGGTAGTGCACATAAGACGTGGGTAAATGAGATGCCGATAATTTTTGGAAGTTTTATGGGACTTAGCAAAGTTGATAATATGGTACCGTGGTCAATAATATCGACAGAGCTCTCCGAAGCATGATGCCAAAGTATTCCGTATCATTTACAATGATAAGGATGTAGAAAGACAGATGGAATTTACTCGGCAAAGTATCCACAGTAAGTGAGGCAATAAATTTTATACAGGAAAAAAGTTTTAATCGCATTCATTAGTTTAAAAATGTGGTCCACCGTCTTCCCATTCCAGTCATGAATTTATCGAGTTTACAATACAATGCTTCCGCCCGGTCTTTAACAAGTTGAGCGATTCCAAAGAAAGGAAAAGTTTCTCTTTTTTATAACCGGAAATTAAAACAACGGCTAAGCACACACGTATGACGCACTACGCTTCAGTGCATCGTGCTTTTCCCTAGTGAAAATCGACTGAAAATGAAAAAAAACGCCACAATGGTGCTATGGCATTTGCAAAGCTCCGGACCGCAGGTCTGTGCAGTGGGGAACTAACGCGCTACTACCCTTTCCAGGGGCAGACACGTTAACCACCACACCATGCTGGCCCGTCGTCTCGCTTGTCTCTCAGCTAGTTCTATCGATCAGTGCCACCAGCAATCACCCGTCAGCGGCATTCATCTGGGCAGCCTAAATCACTGATCGGTAGAACTAGCAGAGAGAAAAGCAAGAGGAAGGACCCGTATGACGTGGTGATGAACGCATTAGCCCCGAAAAGGGTAGTAGCGCGTTCGTTTCCCACCGCAGACACCTGAGATCTGGAATTTTGTAAATATCTCAGCACCATTGTGGTTGTATTACGCATAATATCCGACAGAAAATAAGAAGTAAATATTGTGAAAAAACACCATCAAGAGTTATTACCGATCCAATAAGTGGTAAGGTGAAAAATGATGATGGAGTCGACTTTACGTACATATCTTCATGGCGATTAGATCCCTGAAAAAAACCCACTGGATAGCTTTTCCAACAACGTTAACTGGAGCTTACTGGTATCATAGAATCATTCGGATCTTCTCGTCTGCTATACGCGCGATAACGTGCCCATCGTATTGGCCAGAATTCGTCGTACTCTTTCATGCGGCGCTCGTCTCTGAAGAACATTACATTTAGGAATCGATTACGGTTTTCTCAATACGCCATAGTTCGCCCTGATCCTAAAGTAAGGAAGCAATATTTCCCAGAAGGTTCTTTTCACTCTAAAATGTTATGAACCGTGGATTAGGTGCATCTAGAAAACCACTATTAACTTCACATTTGATTAAAACAAACCTGCTTTGATAATGTTAGCCACTGTGAAATAAATATTGTGTGAGCATTGTCGTATTTGTTTACCAAGGGCATATTAATCTACTGTTTTAATTAACACTGAAGGCTCAATAGTATTTGGTGGGCTGTTACATGTTCTACCTGCAGTCAACTGCCCAATGTAGGTGTTCTGTAAATTTCGGATATTTCACGATATTGACGTTTCCTTTTGGTTTAACCGGACATAACATTCGCCTAAATAAATGAAGAGGTTACTAGGCATAGGATAAGTGAAAAAGTTGTTGTACCTGTAGGCAAAGTAGAGCATAGTGACTCTCCACAATAGTGAGATTATTGACGACGACGATGACAGCAGCATTGACCAGGGTACAACCTGTAAAAATTCCGGGAAAATCATAACTACAATTTAAAATTGTTTATCCACTAATTCAGCTAAATGAAACTAACACAATTCTACAAATAACCAACATCTGGTCCAACACAGCGACACGAAGCCACGAAGAAGAAATTCAGAAGTGTGATGGGAGCGTCGTGAAGTAGCATGATGAGGAACGCCACACGAAAATTGTTGAACGCCTAAGCAGAGTATGTTTATTGAATCCACTGTTGTTTTCAGTATCTTAAAGAATGGCAATCATTCACTTGAAAAACTTTGCCGGAAAAATGAAAGGAAAGTGTGAAGTCCAGGGAGGACTGCGGTTTGGTTTATTCAAATTAAATGGAATTTCACAAAAATTAAAAAATATTTGACACATGGAATAAGGTTTTACAACAAAATTTTTGTGTTCTTTCATTGGCAAGGTGACAATATGACACGATCACTACTTTGGTGATCTTATTTCATTAATTTACTGGTGCCTCCCAACGGTTTACCGCCTCATCGCAGCTGGGAGGTGTTTCTGGGTGTCGGACTACGATGTACAGCGGAGGGATTCGTTTCCCCGGCAGGATCTCCCAAGCTGGGAAGATGTCCGACGTTTACATCAAAAAGCCGAGCTAAGAGCAAACCAATACCAGGATCAGGATCCACCACCGTCCTAGTATCAAAGTCGCATGGTGGCAAATCTCTCTCTCTGATTCACCATGGCTGCGACTGCTGCTGGTGGTAACGACCTGGGGCATAACTGCTGATCTCGTCTAATTTCTTCATGATTCCTCAAAATTTCCGACTTACTCACAACTCGGAAAATAGAGACTCAATAGGTTTAGTAATATTATAGAGAGCTTTGCTGGAGAGAAATAAATACTACGAAGGAGTTTCACAGCAGTCTTAAAAGAGGGTTCGGCACCGAAAATGCGTGGACGAGTTTACCTGGATCCATTCGACTAATGCCTCCCAAATCAATGAGCATCCGCTACGATAAGGTGTAACTCCAAGTCTGTGCACAAACGCATTTTCCATGCACAACACCTGTGAAAAAATCGCTGAAGAACTGGAAATGTGACACTATGTCGTTGATATTAAACTGGTCAATAACGCCATTATTGAGAAAGTAGTTTTATTCTCATTAAGTCTAGCGAACATCTTGGCACTTGGCCAACATGTAAACGTATGTTTAATGCAAGTGCAATGACCTTGTATAAAACATTTGTTATTGCTATTAAGAAACATCGTCTATTACTATAGTGGTCATATTCAATATTCGCTTTCTTAAAGGTAGAAAATTGGTTGAACTGGCATCTCTTTGCTGCCATAAAGGATTTCAGTTTTTGCACAGTTTAACCTAAACTTGGGAAATAAGACTTCTACAGTCAAAATGAAGCCAATATTACCATAGCAGCATTTAATACACATCACTGCTGAAGAGTTCTAAATTTCCAAGTGTGCATTGAACATTGTTCCGAATGGACGAGAATGTAGAATACTGCAGAAATTATATGTGCAGAGATCATAAGGTGGTAGACTGTTATTGCGTTAGTCAAGAACAGATCACTGTCGAAGTTAACTGGTATTACATTACAATGACGTGAGGATGACACGCCCATCTTATCAGTAGTCATACTAAAAGATGCTCATAACACTCTGTGGTTAGGCTCACTTGTTTTTCGCCCATATATATACATGTATGTATATATGCTTCTACGTCTTAGAGAAGAGAAATTAATCGAAGACTGGCCGTCTCGTTGCATATTTTTGGTGCGGGTCATACTTTGGAGCAAATGTTTTCTGCGCTTATTGGGTGGAATACAAATACCTTGAAGTGATTATTGTGTCAGTCTACATTTCAACTGTATACCGAAGCACAACTGATCTGTGTCTTTGTTGAGAACAACAAAGTTACAAGTACTGGTTTTTGTCTTCTATGTAGTTCAACGCTCCACCAATTTGTTGCACGTATTGATTCCACAAAGTACTCTTTGTAATTGATTTCTTGCAGTTGGATAGCCGAATATTAAACTTTCTTCTCTAGCGTAGTGAGAGTTCTTCGTGGTTCCGGTCTTTTTGCTCTTTCCGTGCACCACCACTTTTCTTATTTAAGAACCACTTTTGTTTTATTGGCGTTTTCTGGAAAAGTGAGATTCTACTCTTCAGAATCAAGGTTTTTTTTTAAAAAATTTTCATCATTGAGTATAATCTTCTTAATTAAGCCACTCGACCATATGTTGTAGTGCTGAAGCAGACAACTTTGTCATGGTGGACCGCTGACCCATGTAGAGTGGTGCTGGAAGAGCTCGTGAGCATGACTGTACCGTCGTGGTATAGGTTCAAAAGCAGCCGGTCAGAGCTCTAATAAAGGACTATTCCATCCAGTAGGTAGAGAGCATGACTAGGAGAAGTTCGTAGACCCCGACTGCATTTTTCTCAATGTGATTTTCATTTACGAAGCCCACTTTGTCGATAGTATCCTTGTCGTACATAGCTTGATTCCTTCTCTTGAGCGATGACAGAGATTATAGTCCAGCTTATGGCTAAGCCGTACAGGATATGATAAAGGATGCAAGAAATGAAAGCATTACAGATCTTTCAAGTAGCAGGATCCGGTTTTTGGATAAATGTGTTCGATCCCCTGAATTGTAGCATCGACTTTCTCCTATGTTCAGTCGTTATTATTTCCTAGAAATGTGAAATTCTATTTGAAGAAGAACTTCTCACAAGCACTAATTTGAAAAGATTTGTTTTTTCATTTCTATTCACTATTAAGAGAATTTCGATGCTCTATTCCACTGAACATTAAGTATGTGCGTTATGGAGTTTTCACCACCAAATTTTTATTATTTTCTTTATGAACTGTAGGTCCTATTTAATCATAACACGAGTTTCGTTTAACATCATCTGCTGGGTGCACAGGTAAATAGCATCTCATCACACCGAGTTTCTCGCAAAAGTTGAAGACGGTGGAGGATACACTGACATCAAAAAGTTATGGGTGAATGAACATGGTAGGTAATGGAGAGGTGACATATTCTTGAAATGCGAAATTTCGTAGAGGAATTTTCAGTTTAGCTGTTCGTGCATGTAAAAAGGATAAAGGATAAAGCTACCGGCGTTGATCAATCCCTGAAGGATGCGCCATGCTTTCGACTTTATTATGTATCGTTGGAGGTTGATTGAATGCATATCTAACTTTTACAATGACTCGCGGTGGCCTACCGATGTATTGAGCCAGTGCTGCTATCCTCCCAGACAAGTCTGGTACCAATTTACCTACCCGGAGAGATGGAAGGCTTGGAGAGCCTTGGGCGTGGTAATGGATTCCACGTGTGTGTCGCAGTGATGCTCCAACCACTGTATATATATACATATACACATGTGTGTACGTTTGTGTGCTGTTGTGTATGTGAAAATGTGTGTTTGTGTGACACTGAAGGTAATTTAACAGCGTTGCTTCTGGAATCCAGCAGCAGCCACTTCTGATTCTTCCCGTGTTGACACGATAGGTAACCGTCGGTTTTTGAATAGGAAATAGATTCACTTGTTGAGAAAGTTTTCTGGTGGTGAAAATTCTTAAAATCTAGTTTGGTTTCGAGATGAAGCCATCGAATAATTCTTGTAAAACTGAATTGCATTCTCCAACAATTTCTTATTACACTTTCAACGGTTAAAATGCGCAGCAGTTTTAAAAAGTAAACTGTAATGGCCCAAATACCAACCAAAAGTAACCAAGTGAGCATAGAACCGGCAACAACCGACGCCACTAGTGAAACTACAAGCCAATTCTTAAGCGGAAATGAAGTGACAAGGCCCTAAATATAATGGTTTCGACAGTTATAGTATGAATAAAAATAAGATTATTTTGTTATGAAAAGCAAATCATTTTTACATTTTTAAAACTTGGAATACCTCCCAACAGTTTACCGCCTCATCGTGGCTGGGAACTGTTCCCGAGTGTCGGACTGCGAAGAACAGCGGAGAGATTCGTCCCCAGGCAGGGTCTTCCAAGCTGAGAAGTCCGGCGTTTCCATCAAAAACCTAGCTAAGAGTAAACTAATACCAGGATCCACCACCGTCTTGGTGTCAAAGTCGCATGGTGGTAAATCTTCCTCTAATCCACAAGGGCTGCTACTGCCTGTCGTGGTGACGACCCGGGGTAGACTTCGACCAGGCTGTCCTCGAGACTCCATGGAACCACAATGGCTTAACCATCAAATCTCGGAAAAATGGTGAATGTGCTGGAGCCTGCACAACCAGTGATGACGGGCCGTCAAACTATCAAGTAAAACCAGGAATGACATTTTTGTCTCACCAAAATTAAAAGAAGTTCATCTAAAATGCTGGGAAGATGTATAGCAAGTACAATAGTACAATACTTCAAGCATTGTTCCAAGTATTTCAAGATTAGTATTTGAATAAAAAGTTTGCCTATTATTAGTTTACAAGAGTTTTTTTTAAAATAAGTATACTCACATGAAGTGTAGCCCATACATGAAACCAATCACACATACAGTTTGATACATACACAATAAATGAGATGGCATATAAAGTGTGCATAGTTCTTCCTGAAAAAACCTGGGTAAGATGTGTTTGTAATGGCTATCGCTTTTTTTCAAGAAAGTCGCCATCATTTTTGTTCAGTTACCTTTAAGTAATGGTATCGTTGGTGAAGTCATTGCAAAGCCTGATGTGTATAGAGCGTCGAGGAGAGCGAGAACATTACCCGACTTGATTGTTGGTGAATTTAGTAGGTCCGTCATTCTTGAGGAGAATTTTTGAAGACAATTGCAATAGAAGACGAATAAACGATCGCTGAAGAACAACTATGACTAGATTTTGCAAACCCGTTAAACAAGGAATTCATCAATAACATGAAATCTAAAGACATTTAAAAAATCGGAAAAACGGGATAAATTTAAGTACTATAAACTAGTTTTTTTTGTTACTTTCCGAAACAAAAATTTAAATGAAAACTAGGACTACAAAATTTTTTAGGAGCACGGAATACACAGAGGTGCCATGCAATACAAGCGATAAACCTTCTGATTCGATTCTGCCCCATCAACCAAGGCTTTCATCAATCCGGGATGAGCAAACCATACAATACTTGCCAAGAAAAGCTTCCTTCGGTCTAGAAAAGCAGAGGACTCTATCGGTGGCAAAAATCTAAGCCTGGTCTAGAACAGCTCCATGAATCCAACAAAGATCAACTCGTCCATAATTTAACGGCATTCATGAATAAAGCAGGAAAATCAACAACCGAGCAATAAGGGAAACTTGCTGAAGTTCGTAGACGACAGGTGCAAGGCGGCGAGTGGAATGAAAAAAGTGCTGCAACCCGTATAATAGATAACAACTTGTAAAAATAAATTTTATTTTTTTATTTTATGCGATCCGACTTCACGTCTGCTATGTGGATCCCTGAAATTTTCGCACTCGATTCGCATCATTGCTTCCAACATTCACTAAGGTCTTCCTTCTTCTAACGTGCGGCTCCCGCTGTTGCTTGAGGATTTTCATTTCATCTTGAATTCTGGTAGAGTCGGTTCTCACTGGGGTTCTTGGACAACCCGGCAAGAGCGTTCCCGACTGGATTGCAGAGAGCGATTTTTTTCCGGACAAGTTCGGCACCAATTTTCCGACCCAGGAGGGATGAAGGGGTTGGTGAGCTCGGAGAGAGATTTAACTACCACTGTGCTCGTGGTGGAAGGCACTACTACTATTGTTATATCCGTCCCCTGTAAAATAAATTCCTCAGTTCTTATTTTATTTCATTTGATCCGTCTTCATATCTACTGTGCGGATCCCAGCACTTCTCGCATTCAATTCGTTTACTCGCATCCACTGTCCACGAAGAACCTCCAACTTCTTGAGGATTTTCATTTCACCTTCAATGTGATAGAATGCTGGTCGAGCAATTCTCCCTGGAGTCGTGAGATAGATGGGCTGGAGTGATCCCAGTTGGATTGCAGAGAGTGACGTTTTCCCAGACAAGTCCGGTACCATTTTTCCGACTCTGGAGGGCTTAAGAGGCGTGGTATGGTGGTACCGGAGAGGAATCGAAATACCATCATACTCGTGATGACGGACATCACTACCAATGTGCTATCCGCCCTATCATAAGCAAATAAGCACAACTCTTATGCTTCTGCGTAAAACAAATAATTAAGTAAATGTCATGATTTGAAGCGATTGTTTCAAAACACAGTTTCAAAAGATTTTCAGTATTAAACACAGGAGTTTTCGTGTGTAATTCCTATTGGATAACAAAAGAGTTTCACAAAACGGTGGCTAAAGTATAACAGTACACGTGCAACACGTGTTGAATTGTGGCTCAGCTTAACAACAAGGCATTTCAAGCACGTAATAAAGAATTCTTTCAGAATCGCGTGCAGCACGACAAGTGCCTAACCACAGCTACGACCGATTGACATTTATAACTGAGATCACTTCCCCGAATTGCCCGCGCAATCACATTGGCGGAAATTTCATCGTAGATCGTTAAAATAAAATATAGGAACAAATACAAATAAAGACGATTGCCATAAAATGTAACAGTTAAGGAAACAGCAGTTAGAAGAACGACACTTGCTGCTTCAACACAGCAATGCAGTAGTCTATAACCAGTTAGGAACATGTGACACCCTGACGTTTCATAACAAGAAGGAAAAACGACAATGTGATAAAATTGTAAACCTCCAGCACTTGAATTAACTGGCACTTGACACCTTATTCAAAAAATCACTCCACTTTCTTAACGGTGATTATCTGGTAATTTCGTTACAGCTGATAATCTGTAAAGCGAAAATAGTCCTAATGCTTTTAGCATCTTTAAAGAAAAGACTAGTAAAATCTGAATAGATAGCAACTAGAGAGTTGCTTTCATAAACTACAATTAAATAAAGAGTTTTGTTGAATCGAAATCGAATGAAGGAGGATTAGTTCTACCAAAGCAGCACCGTGTCCACGCAAATAGTGCAGGCTGGAGGAAATTTCACAGTAAGTTTCATTGGCAGAAAAATCCGGTTTTAAGTCGAAGAAGAAGGAGGGAGGGGCGGCACGATTCGACGTTCGATGTCGGAACAACTCAGCTTCCGGTGCTGATTGAAGAGAGACCAATGCCCACTAATTGTTTTCCCTTTGCGAAAGACAGGAAGGCGTCATAGCGTCGTTGAAAATTCTTCTTGCTAAAACTTTTGCTCTTCCTAGAACTAGCATTGTTTTTAGTAATAAGCCAATAAACCCGAACAGAAATAGTTTTGCATAGATGACGAAAACCTCATGCTGTTGAAGAAAAGAAAGCGGATTTCTTATTCGTTGGCTAAGGAAAATACTGTAAACAAAGTTATTCTTCAATTTCAGTTTTGCAGAATCCGCAATAATAATTTACTCAAGGAAGCTTTTCAACTATTTCTGGAAGCTGGAGCTAAGATGAAGTTGCAGTCGAAGTCACAATGTCTCAACAACTGTCTTTATACACTACTCATTGCTTCTTAATGGCAGCGCATTATGCAAAACGGAACCATGAAACGTGGGACATGAGCCAACTCGGAACCTCAATTGGGCTTCGAGCCAGTGATTTACCTTTCCGAGGGCCCACGTGTCATCCAACACACGAACTGACGCCCTTGCGTTGCCTTGCTCCAAGCCAGTTTTTTCCTTTAACAGGGGCTTCGATTGTTGTGGTGGATGGCAACTGAGCTTCCAGGCAACTGAGCTTAAAGGTAATCTTGGGCCCACTTGTGGTTACGAGTTTTGCTTATATCTCATCATCTTTGTGACTGCATTTGACACAGTATCCTGTCATAAAAAGGAATAGGAAGAGATAAAAAGTTAGGCAATCGCTGTTGAAACAAATCTTTCTAGGTTGTAACACATGTGTTTTATTTTCATTCCTTGATACATTTCTGCGAAAACTGGGATTCCTCTAGAGTTCGAATCTCCTAGGCAAATACTGAAAACTCGCCTTTACGGAACTTTCGTTTGCTACTGCGAATTTCATCGAGAACAAAAAAAATTGTCAGGTGAACATATCATGAACGAAAAAGCTTTCCAGGTTTTGAAATTTTCGTAACCAACCGCGAAGGAATGGAAGGTGTGCTGAGCACTGACTGTGCGATCGAACAAGCGACATATCCAATTTGTTTTGTAAGAGAGTTCTAAGCACACGCACTAATGGGATATTCACAATAAAATTTCAATCAACTCTTCAACGAAAGTCATGGTAATTCCCAGGACCACTTTCCGCTAACCTCAGCACTAGTGAAGAACTACCTGTTTCCTTGACTAGCACACACAAGATTGTTATTAAGAATTATTTATTGGAAACAACTGACGTTTCGGCGAATTTCACCCTCTGCAAAGCTTGGAAAGACGAAGTTAAGGGTGACGTATTCAACGAAACGTCTCCATAACATCAATGGAAAGTCGGCGACGCCTAATTTTTAAACGAACTGGGTATAAAATAGCTTCTTCGCCTACTTACCGCTCTCTATGAGTCTTCCGTTGAGTATTCCAAGTAGAGACCAACCGTGCAAACCTCACACAGAAAGGTAAGAAATAAGACATACGTACAGACAGAACCTGTAGACACATGACGAGAAGAATTTTGAAGTAGCAGCGACCATCCACTCGCAGGAATCTAAAACAACATTCCGTGAAACCCACGAAACACTCTGAATAGATTCCAATAGTCTAGAAATTAGCCACAGGATAGAAGGAATGCCTCGTTATTAGATGTGATCTTACACAGTCATAATCATGTTTCAACGTGAAATTGCCTCATCTACTGTCCATGAGAATTCCTCACGGTTGGCATCTGTGTTGAATGCTCAGCGGAAGACTCATAGAAAGCGTTGAGTATGCGAAAAAGCTATTTTGTTCCCAGCTCGATTAAGAACTTTGTGTCTTTTTTATCTGCTAGAGGTGTTTGGCTGACTAGATTGCTGTTAACTTGACCTATCTATGCTCTGAAGAAGGTGCGTTCCTCTGAAACGCCAACTGTCGTCAACAATTTCATTGTCTCAGCCAATTTCGTTCCACTGCCTTAGCATGTTCACAAGCGCGCAGTGTGATTGTGAAATCTACACAATTGAAATTTACCATGGTGATGAGCGTTTTGCCTTCTCAATCCACCGTATTCTGTCGCACTACGAAAAATCTTGAGCCAAAAATTATTTTGAAGAGTATTGTGCAGTAATGGAATTGTTTTACTAAATTGTTCCTTTCTGTATATTTAAACTGTTAAGTTCACCATTAAATGAGATATTTTGACTTAATGGTGAAAGCGACCTACATGACCGTTCCGTGTAAATCACATGTGATTTATACTCCCTCGAATCTTTTAAGCTACATATTTCCATGTTTTTGTGCAATCAATGAAATAGGAAGCACAGTGCTTAGTGAAAGCAATGAACCAAAGGCCCTAGTTCGACCCCCGCCCTTACGCTCTTTTCTCCAATTCACGTGGAAACGCCTTTGAAGGCTACTTTCATGAGCGCAAAGAGAATAGGCAAGACCAGCAATCTATGACGTTGCTAAAGAAAAAAATAAACTCCTGAAGTGGCAGTAGAAACAGCGCACAAAACATTCTGAGGACTTTGTGCATGGTAAGCGCGAGAAAACGAACCGAATGCAAGAAGTGCTGGGATCCGTATGGTAGACGTGATGATAGGGTAAACAAAATGTTAAAAAAAAGCAGATTCTCATGTCTCTGTAGAAACTGTGAAGAGGGAGGCACTATAAAGATGATGTGACAAAG